TACAGTGTGATTGAAACTTCGTGGCCCATGCGCAGAAGTCAGTATTTTGTGGAAGAGCCACACTCAAGGGGCCAAAGAGCCGCATGTGGCTCGCGAGCCGCAGTTTTCCGACCACTGACCTAGGCATATCTCCGCCAGCCCAGCAAGGAGACCCAGCACTGATTGGCTCATCCCTTTCATACCAGCGGTGCAAACTGGCAGCTACAAGCCATGGTTGTCTTACAGATATGTGTTGTTGGGTTCACAGAGCATTGTTGAAAAATTACTACTGCCGCTCAGCCGGTGTGGCTCAGTGGTTGGGCACCGACCTAAGAACCAGGAAGTCATGGTTCCATTCCCAGTCAGGGCACATGCCCAGGATGCGGGCTTGATCCCCAGGATGGGGGCATCCAGGAGGCAGCCGATCAATGATTCTCATCATTGATGTTTCTATCTTTCCTGCTCCCTTCCTCTCCGAAATCAATGAAAATATTCAAAATATTACTATTACCGGTATTTAAAATTTGAAGAGTTTACATTAAAATGCAGATCTCTAGCTTCTCTTATAAAAAGAATGACATGCTTTGGAAACACTGGGTCAGCATTCTTGTAAGGCAACAGCAGGCTGGAGCCAAGTGGAGGCAGCCCTCTTTACAGGGGATACAGTGACTAAAGATGGTAGCGGCCTCCCTCCCGGAGGAGGCCCAGCTGGTGGGGAAGAGGCTGTGCCTGCACTCGGGGATGGAAGAAGAGGAAGGAGCTACAGCTCTACCCTGTGCTCCCCACCCGGTTGCCTCAGTTTGAAAGGAGCAAGGCCCCAAGGCTTTGGCAAAGTTCCCTTTCTCCTGTCACCCATTCAGCCGCAGCAGTTGGAGCAGAGTGCCCTCAAGTTTGCCAGAGTCCCCACCAATCCTTATAGCTTTACATCCAACTGCTTTCACTCAATCTACATTCACTGCCAGGCCTCAGAACATGTTTAAGTGTGAGCTCCCTGTTTTATAACCGTGCCTGGGGTAGTGGAGTTGTTCCTGTGTTGCTGAACTACCAAGGCTGTGTCTGAACGAGGCTCTCACATCTTACCCGATGCTCACCATCAAGGCTGGTGGTGGCAGGAAGATGGCACCCCCGGCTGAGGAGGCTTTAGGAAGCACTGGGCCTTTGGGGCAAATAGCTTTTTCTCCCACTCCCCAGCCCTGTCGGGGGACTCAGCCCTCTTTCTGGAGGCCCCTGTCCTACCGTTCTGGAGCTGAGGCTCCCTTGCAGCCCTTTATGCCGGGCCGATAGTCAAAGTGACACAGTGAAAACAAACCTCTCTCCCCCAAAGGTGCCTTTGCTTTAGACTTTCTGTGACTGATTGTCTAATTACATTTGCGACTCCGGAAGTATCATCTCTTCAGCAGCTGGGGTGTGCACCTCAGGTTGAAACAAAGCATTCCATCCTCCTGGCAGGAGACAGCCGGAAGTCTGGAGGTCACTGCACGCACCACCTTATAAGCAGGGCTGCTATGACTTGGGAGAGGAGCCCTGTTCATTGCTTTCCGACTCTGCACAGTGCCCGGGCTCCCAGTGGGAAGGCTGATTCTGTTGTCCCTCTCGCCTTCCTTATCTTGTAATTCGAATAAATATACCAGGTTGTACTTGATGGAGGAGAAGCCCAAGAATCCTGACCCCATGGGATGTGGTGATGACATAAATAGGTAAACCCAGCTGCTGCTGGTACCTTCTGCTTCTATTACAGAGAATATCAACAGCTTTTTGAGAGGATGATGCTCAGTGGTCTCTGCCTTTTCCAAATTCCTTTCTCACTTATGGTCTCTATTGCCACCTCCTCCAAGAAGCCCTCCATGATTTCATCCAGAACTACTTGTTTATTCAGTCTCACAGCACACTATTTGTTCTTAGCACTTATGATATCAAAACCTGCAAGTCTGTCTCCTCCCGTCTTCTGTGCCTTTTCATGGCAAAGTCTGCATCCTGTTCCTCTCTTTCTCCTCCAGCATATGATACATGCTAGGCAGGGAGTGGGAGCTCAGCAAATGACAACCAACTGAGATGAAAGATCATATGCTTCAAAAGTACTTCAGCCCTGGCCGGTACTGTCAGCCCACAGACCAAAGGGTTGTGGGGATACCTGGCCTGGTCAGGCATGTGCAGAAGGCAACCAATTGATCTCTCTCTCTCTCTTCTCCCCGCCATTGTTCCTCCCTTCCATTCTCTCTCTCTCTCTGAAAAATCAATGGAAAAAATATCCTCGGGTTTCTCTCTCTGAAAAATCAATGGGAAAAATATAGTTGGGTGAGGATGAACAAAACAAAAAGCACTTCAGTGCCCTCCAGGTTGTTGGCACATTGCATTGATCACTGCTCTCTGGTCTTTTTCTCAGGAAAGCATGCTGGCCGATGCCCCTGGCACACAGCATGCTCGCTCTTCTGCTGTGCCCTGCCCATTTGCCTGGCACCCCTGGAGAGCTTTGGTGGTGGCAGGAAGATGGCACCCCGGGCTGAGGAGGCTTTAGGAAGCATTGGGCCTTTGGGGCAAATAGGTTTTTCTCCCACTCCCCAGTCCTGTCGGGGGACTCAGCCCTTTCTGGAGGCCCCTGTCCTACCGTTCTGAAGCTGAGGCTCCCTTGCAGCCCTTTATGCCCGGCCGATAGTCAAAGTGACACAGTGAAAACAAACCTCTCTCCCCCAAAGGTGCCTTTGCTTTAGACTTTCTGTGACTGATTGTCTAATTACATTTGCGACTCCGGAAGTATCATCTCTTCAGCAGCTGGGGTGTGCACCTCAGGTTGAAACAAAGCATTCCATCCTCCTGGCAGGAGACAGCCAGAGGTCTGGAGGTCACGCACGCACCACCTTATAAGCAGCGCTGCTATGACCTAGGAGAGGAGCCCTGTTCATTGCTTTCCAACTCTGCACAGTGCCCAGGCTCCCAGTGGGAAGGCTGATTCTGTTGTCCCTCCCACCTTCCTTATCTTGTAATTCGAACAAATATACCAGGGTGTACTTGATGGAGGAGAGGCCCAAGAATCCTGTCCCCATGGGATGTGGTGATGACATAAACAGGTAAACCCAGCTGCTGCTGGTACCTTCTGCTTCTATTTCAGAGAATACCAACATCTTGGCTTTTTTGAGATGATGATGCTCAGTGGTCTCTGCCTCTTCCAAATTCCTTTCTCACTTATAGTCTCTATTGCCACCTCCTCCAAGAAGCCCTCCATGGTTTCATCCAGAAGAACTACTTGTTCATTCAGTCTCACAGCACACTATTTGTTCTTAGGGCTTGTGATATCAAAATCTGCAAGTCTGTCTCCTCCCATCTCCTGTGCCTTT